ACTGGTCTAGGTCAGGGTGGTCCAATGTTGTGAGCTCCGCGGGCCACAAAATTATTTTGGCATTGGTCACGGGCTACAATAGTACCAAGGTAAACAGTGCAATACAAAACAAGTACTTCTATCGTGTAAACACATAGTTATCACATAGGCATTGCCAACCTAGGCTAATGAAATCCGCATCCGATGTTTAGTTTTCTATAATGCCTATATTGTTAGCATATATTCCCGACCCAAATGATGGAAATCCAGGTAACAATTTAGACTGCCCATCACATCTTCAACTTCGCTAGTTGCTTCAGATAGCCATCATACTAGTCAATTCAGTAACAGTGGTGATATAACAACAATATGTCAAACAATTTTTCTGATTTATTTTATGAGAAGTAATTTAAAATACGATATTCTGATTACTCTCCGAATGCGGTGCGGGCCACAGATAATGGAGCGGCGGGCCACATGTGGCCCGCGGGCCTGGGTTTGGACCACCCTGGTCTAGGCTGAAATGGGATTATGTTAATCAGCTACTACAGCTGTCCTACTTACCCATATCATTATTAGTATATTTATTTTACATGTTTGTAATTCTGTTAATTTTCTATTTCTATAATTGAGTCCCCTATATATTCTGCATGAACTGCCATACCATAGTATTGTACTGTTGTGACTTTAAACCTATGTAATTTAATGACTTAAATTCTGCATGAACCGTCTTATTGAACAGTTGTGTATTTACATTTTTGTAATTCGATGATTTCTATATTCTACATGACCTATTTGATTGCACTACAGAACCGTTGTGATTTAAAATTCTGAAATTAGTTATATTTATGCCACACAAATTGACTATTCGTAAGTAATGTAACTCAATGCAATTACCTGGTTTAGTGATCTCTTAATCCGTTGCCCAAACCTGTAGAAACATTTTATTCTTTTTTCTCACTTCATATTATCCTCGTGTACAAATTCGTCCCCAGCCTTTATGAACCATGCATCAGCACAGTGCCGGTACCGTCCAACTCAGCTTGCAATATGGTGCTCCAGTCACTTAGACGTTACCGTATTTGTGCCGTAGTTGTCATGGTTATCTGCCAATCGGCGTTCGGAGTCGTTTGCTTAGTGAGTCCGGAAATATCCGGTCTTTTTAAACATATTTCTGCCAATGATAGTATTTTGGCGTCCGACTCCTCACTTTAGTACTGTATTTAGTTCGATTTTTGTTCTTGTATAACCCAATGTTAGACTATTCATAGGTGTCGCTGCTCGATAACCAATGCTGGTTTATCGCGTCCCCTTTGACCCTGAAATGCATTATTTTTCTCTCTTTTCTTATCTCGTTCTGTATGTACAGTATTTCTTATATGGTGATAAAATAAACTACTGATTACCTTTGCCGCTGACTAGGTAAACTAATGTCAGAAATAATAACGGCTAGCTAGAATATTTAAACCAACCCTAATGCAAAATCCTGCACCAGCAATCAAAGAGAAAAGCGATTTCTTCAGAACAATACAAAGAACAAGAACAACATAATCGTTATGGCACTATGTGTCCAATAATAGTCCATGGTCAGGCTATTAAGCTGCTGTATGCCGTGATTGGATCAGCGGTGTGGCCCAACATGCTAAGCGTTTGGAATACGCTCGCGTTTTGAAGAGACATGTAAATGTCCTCGGGGTAGTGTTTAATATTAAATTAGTGAAAAAGAACTGTCTACTAATTGTTAAAAAATAAACACGAAAGAAATGCTCAGATCGGAGACCGCCGACTTATCGATCTGCGGTTTCGATTCCTTCACTTTGACTCAATAACGACACCACGTGTCTCATCATCAATTATTCAATACCTCACTAATCATACGACATAAATCATCCAAAACCAATAGGCTGCTGGGATATAATGAATGCACATGCAAAATTTGGAGCAGATTCAACCTCGCTTTCGTGAGATATCACGTAACATACGAAACAGACAAACAAACAAACAGACCTATCAACCTACTTGCCGATCGAGATCGATAAGTAATAATTGGACATAAAAGTCGTTCGTTGTACTGTTACAGTAATGCTTGGGCACTTTGAAAGTGACTGTAAACTAAGTGGAGACATCGAGAGCAATGATGCATATCGGACGTCATTTTGTGTCCAGCGAATCGGGGGAACGCGGCAGCGTCGGTTTGTTTTAGCTTCGTCAGAAGGTCTCGTTCGTCAATTTGTTTGAAGATTTTTTACTGTTTTACATTTTATTTGTGTAATTTCATTATTTTTCTTTTGCTATTCGTCTCGTGGAATCATACTGGTATCGTGCGGTTTCGTGAAAATTGCGATAGTTATCTTATCATCCCGTGTGAGTTATGCAACTTTGAAACCTCATATCTCACGAACTTTATATTATATGCAGATAAGTTTTATATTGTTTGAAAGACAATCTAGGAGAATAAATATAATTATGAGATGGAGATAAAATGTCGCGATTATCATACAAAAATCGGCAAAATTGAAAAGCTGATTTTTTTTTGAAAAGCTTTTGAATTGAATAAAAAAAAATTCGATTTCCTTGTTTTAACATAATATGACATCGACAAATTTGCAGAGGTTAAGAATAGCTTTCGACATTAGATATAATTTGTCGTGCACGTAGCAACGTTCTGTATGAAAAACACATCGCTTTCCTTCGCAACGTCATGAAACTTTGAAACGTCATTAACCTAATGCATACGTTTGAATCAGGTACTATTTGAACTGGTTTTATGATACCTGTTCACACCATGCCAAAAGTTTAAAGCCTGCGTTTTACATTAATCATTCCAGAAGCTGATGAAATGAATTTTCTCGGAAAAATGTTTCTTAATTTAACGAGCTGTTGCAACAGTTGCTCCAAAAATTATAGAATGTAAACGATCTCATGGCAAGCACATTGTGCGGCCTAATGAATTTCATCGAAACATGTACATTATAAGGTAAAAAATTTAAAAACCAGCCGCCGCGACTGGTGTTACAACTTATCAACTTATTATTGGCAGTATATTTCGATTCTTTTGTGTCGGAAAATGTAAAATATTTACTAGGTGATTTAGCGACGCTTTCATGTCTTCTACGTTCTCGTTGATGAGTCTTAATTGTTATTTTATCAATATCCAACAGTGAAAAATTAGCCTTGATGTTTCCGGGGGAACCCTATAAAGACACGGGGTTCAAATTGTTTGTTTGTTCATATGGAAAGTGTGAATCCCGATGAATGCCCACAACCGTTACTAACTTTTTTAGGTCTTACACACCTGATAAATATTTGAAAATTGATAGTTTTACCCAATATTTAGTATAAACTATATTTCGCGCAAATATTAATGCCTTTCATAATATATGTTCGCCTGTTACTTTTCTGACAGATAAAGTTGCTTGAAATATAATTTCCCATCTTGCCATAATATCGCTTTTAAATTTAAGGTTAAATATTCACGCAAAAGAGGAGACAAATAAAATTATTAAAAAACGGTATGCTAGTAGACCTGCGGCAAGAGCTCAAGTCAAATAGATAATATATTATTTCATACACTCCAGATTATTAGATGTTCTTGTAAACTTGATATACGCCGTTATCCTTCATTCCATGCATGTAGTATATTTTTTTAATATTATTTTGGCAATGAACACCTTGTTGAAAATTTGCCATACGCATATTTTAATATCATGACATGTACCGCAAAATAGTGCAATTTTCAATAGTATAATTTGTATCGTAGTTCTGTCAGTTTGTCAAAATAGGTTCTGTGCAAGTAGCGATACTTACACCAGGAATTTTATAATAATTTAATGTTAAAATGTGTACATTTTTGTTTAATATTTTGGTCTTATTGGGTTGTTGATTTATCGAGTGAAGTTGGATGACTTTAACCTTAACTAAATATGCTGACCATATCGCCGAGCCGAGTTTTTCGAGAAACATCTGCGGATAATTAATTTTTCAGAGGAATGTTCATTCGTTTTGCCGCTGCGAAAGTTTGGTCCGTATTATTGAGCATCGTTTTTTTTAATCAGCTGTTCGATCGCAGGTTTAAATCACTTAGTTAGAATCATAATGGCTGGTGTGACGTCACACGAGCGCTTATAACGTTACTAATGCATGTCCTCACTTGGTTTATATTCACTTTGGGCACTTTGGGTAAAAGGCGATCGAGTAGGCGTGAGGAAATAAAGTATTCCCGGACCTCCTGAAGTATGCGCACCAAGATGGCGCACAACCTGAACTCAGAGTTTCAGAGAAAATCGATTTTCCTCAACAATTCACACTAGCTCGTCCAATAAAGTTGGACTTTTCAAAACAAACGGCTATCAAAGTTAATTAATGAAAAATCTCCGGTCCATAGCTGATTAGGACTTAGAAGCATACCAACTTGTTCTATATAACTGATATTTTAGGACTCAGAATTCGGCATGTTTTGACTGGGACTGTAGCAGTCGTATTTACAAACTCTCTTCTCAAATTGGATCGATTGTATATTTTGCCATACATCACAGGCATTCTCTATCTTTGTTTCCTTCTCCAGACTGCTCTTTCTACATGAACCCGAAGTTAAGTATTCTTACTAGATTACAAGGTCTCATCACTGGCGGGTGATGCGATTAACCCAGTGGTTATAAGGCGTTAGACAAGTCAACCACATCACCAAGCATAATAAATTGAGTAGAAAATGACAGATAGATTTCGCTTGTGCAGAACCTTACTCAATATGAGAGGGTATGAAATGCCATAGCAATGATACCCATCATTAGCATTGGACTATGCCAGGGTCGGCAACCTTTTGCTCGCAGGCCAAAATTAAGGGCTGCAAGTCATTGGTGGGCCGCACACATTTTAGAAAGTTAAAAACCAAACGGATGATACTTCTTATATTAAAAATCAAGCAGTGATACATCCTTCGAATGAAATATAGATTTATTTTTTCATCGCATTGCATCTCAAAAAATCCAATTTGAATATTTTTCTGCGCCATTGAACCCTTTGCACTTAACATCAACTTTTTTTGCGTTTTGTTACTGTTTAACTAATTGTTATTAAATTATAGGCTCATTAAAGGAGTAATTGTGAATTATATACTTGTTAGTTTACAATTTAATCTACACGTGACTCGCAATAAATTCTGTCGTCTATCGCCAAAACAGCAGTTTTGTTACTATAATTCAGTGAAGCGTCGCGGGTCGGATTATATTAATCCGCGGGTCGTAGGTTCCGACCTCTGGTTTTTGCATTTGACTGACTATCGATGGCAAATACTTTATCACACGATCCGCTTCCAGTACCACATCTTTGCAACAGATTCTATATTTCAATTCAGTATTTCAGATAATCAAAGTCGAATTGTTTACAGGAACCCAATAAAAAAAATTAATTTGACAATCGAACATGAACAAGGAGTCCTCTTACTTCAATACACAATACCATAGTACAGTCGGTCGAGTACTACTCTATATTCAAAGTTTTTTTTCTTTTTCAAGGCATGTTTTCATCAATTCCTCATATGTAGGAATGTTTGGATAATGCAACCATCATATCCAGGCTTGTCCAAGGAACATATTTTTCCGTTCCATTCCCATAGCAATTATGCCTGTCCCATCCCAACAAGAGAGCTATGCTCAAGTATATGGACACGAAGTCTATAACGAAATGTTTTACCATCATTTCCCGAAAACCTTATGCCAAACCTTGCCAAATATAACTATCAGCATATTACGAAAAAAGGTCTTTTAAATGGATTCTACCACATCACAAAAATTAAATAGTTTGTCAGTATGTGGAAGGAAGTGCCCCATACCAGGGTGATCTCAAAATCACTTCTTACATTATAAACATTTTCGATTACAGCAGCTCAAAGAAGAAGCACAGTCAGCTAAGATGTCATAAACTATTAACATTAGGAACCATACTACTGTGTAAGACTGTAATGGCCTAGTTCAGGGTGGTCCAATGTTGTGGGCTCCGCGGGCCACAAAATTATTTTTGGCATTGGTCGCCGGCCACGACAGTACCAAGAATAGGTAAACAGTGCAGTACAAAACAAGCAATAATATTGTGTAAACTCATAGTTAACAGGCATTGCCAACCTAGGCTAATGCAATCCACATTCGATTTGTAGTTTTCTTTCATGCCTATATTGTTAGCATATATTCCCGACCAAAACGATAGAAATCCAGATAACAATTTAAACTGCCGATCGCTTCATTCAACTTCGCTAGTTGCTTCAGCTAGACATCATACTAGTCAATTCAGTCACAGTGGTGATATAGCAACAATATGTCGAACGATTTTTCTGATTTATTTTATGAGAAGCAATTTAAAATACAATATTTTGATTACTCTTCGAATACGGCGCGGGCCACAGATAAGGAAGCAGCGGGCCACATGTGGCCCGCGGGCCTGGGTTCGGACCACCCTGGCTTAGTTCTTGGAATTGTAGTTCATAAGCTTGAGTTCAAGCCCACCACCTCATCCAGGGTGTGATAAATTGAGTAAGCAACGCCGACCTTAGTATAGTGGCAATTACCTTACATTGTCCGCTTGCTTAGAGCTCGGTTCGGAGGGAAAATGTACAAAACCTCCATTTTATATTGAAAAACATGGTGACTGTTTTCTAGTTGATGTAGCAATGAGATTTTCTCTTCTAATTTCTTTTGAGACATGCTCCTTTTTTTTCTCCCTGCTATAGTTGTGATCCAATGAAGTCGGATTAGCACGAATTGAACTCAGATTGCTGGGTTGACTGTTTGGGGTGATCGAATCATTAGCACTGAACAGAATAAATATTGCGATGTTATATCGCCTACTACTTTTGTATAAAAAAATTTGATCGCAGCAAGGTCACATGCACTTGCCTAAAAATAAAGGAGACTGATCTATGAGCAAAGTTACAGAATACCACTGAAGTAGGCGCGGCGCAGTAGCTCATCGTGCTAAGCGTTAGGAATACGCTCGCCCCCGCACCTCTGATTACTCTGCGTGGGTTTGCAGGTTCGAATCCCATGTGGAGATGATTATGTCGAGAGGATTGCTGGACTCTTCGCCGCCGTAAGGTCCTACACGTAACCGCTTCCTCCACCATCAAGTCCATGCTTCGAAAACAAATAACTAACTAATGGTAACCGGCCGAGAGGCTGTGGTTCTCCATATGGTGAAGCAGCCTTACCTCATTTCCTCTCCCCCGGGATATATATGTAAATCCTATCCTGATGCCGACTTGAAGGAGTTCAAGTCAATATGATCCAGAAAACAGCAATGAAATAGTGAATTCCACATAACTGAATATTGGGGAAAAAACTAAAAATTCAAATGGAAATTCAAATCATTCCCAACACCAACATATTAAATGAATAATATTTTATTTTGAAACTTTGCAGGGTGTTTTTCTCGAATCTCACATTTTTGCATTAATGAGGGAGGGGTAGAGCTAAGATCTGCAGTCCGAGCACGACCCTGCCCTAATTTTGGGGCCTAAAACGTCAATCATTACGTTCGGGTCAGTGTCTGTATCGCTGACTTTTTTTTAAATGAGGCGTTTCGGCTGTGTTTTGGCCACGAGAGACCGTGGTCTGCAAAAGAAACAGAATTTGCCTCATCAACACGACACATTTAAACTCTTGCAATGATATTTCAAAAGCCTCCCAAATAAAATATGAAATTTCAGGTTTTCCTCGCGCTCGGGCCTTCAAATTCAGTTAATTAGTCGAGCTCGGGTCGAGTTTAACACCCACAGGCCTGCGTCGGGCTGGAATTTTGGGACCAATTGAGTGGTCTACAATAAGATAAATATGATATTCAGTTTTACCTCAATTTTTCTGGCAGTGGTCTGTCTGTAACCACTCTTTTAGGCAGTGGTCTCTCTGGAACTGACTTGGTCCAACTAAATATTGATGGAACTGAGTTGTAATGTAGGAGACGCCTACCTGAAGGTGACTCATATATATCTTCAGGTCTGAAGTGCTTGCCACAAACCCTCGTGCTTCTTGTTACCTGTCAAAATAACCCAAGAATACATTCACTAGAAATGTTACAAAATGCGCTTTTTCGCGCCAAAAAATGTAACGATCCTGTCAGCTAAATACCGTTACGCCGTGTCTGAATACCGCTACACAGCTTGAAATTTCATGAAATTTTGACATATCTCAGATAAAATACACAATTATGATCTCGTATTTGAACATTTTCATAAGTGCATAAATTTCCCAACATTTGGAGCTTTTAACAATTACGCTCAAGTTATACGTACTGCAAATTAATGATATTGTCGAGTGTCGACGGACACCAAAAAAAATTATACTGACGTTTTTATTTCTTTCCTAACTTGATACTCAGGCTACCAATTTTTATGAAGTTTGTTCAATCAGAACATCGTTAAATATTACCCACAACGAACCACTGTTAAACCAATACGCACAATTCAAGCGTCGATTTTACGACGATCTTGAACCTAAATGAACGTTGCCCCAAAAAAATCCTGAAATAGTCCCAATATTCTATAGATGTGACACAAATCGAAAGATTAGTGATTGATATGTGTTCTTTTTTTATATTCAATAAAGTTCTTATTAAAAATGTCAATTCGCATACGTTTACGAAACGCTACAAATTAATTCAAGGCGCTGGTACTGTGATCTCAGAATGAGTCTGTCAACTCGCATCAGTTATCGATTGAATGTCGACATTTTCCCTCGCAGCGATTTCTCTCATTTTGTGTTTCACTAAACGCGGTGAATGTCTTACTTACGAGTTAAAGAATATTAAATGATAATTAATTGTTCATCAAGTAAAGTGGGATATGAAAAACGCTAAATCAGTTTATTGCTGCGTATGCGTGGACTTACGTAGTGGGGAAGGTCCTTGCCGAGAGGTTATGTACAGTTCGAAAACTTTCTCATACATATTTATTTGAAAAAAGAAGCTAATTTCTTTAAAAAGAATATGAACTATGTTGCATTAGGTTCTTCTATTCACAACATCCTGCTGTTCCAAATTTTTTTCGATTACCTCCAAAAATAGCAGAGATGCATTCTGTTGTTTATCGGTCTGACATTCTTGCGGGCACAGTTTTTGAGTTGGCATAAATATATTACCTTAAGGAAAAAGTTGGCCTATCGCTGTATCGGGCGGTACTAAAATGCCGATGTCTCCGTTATTTCTTGGCCGGTTTCTTACAAACTTAGAATTGCTTTCTTATTTTCACTCAGATCTATCAACTGGCACAGTTTTTATTATATATTTAAATCGGATGAACTTTATTTTTTTTTTCGTAACGTACCGGTACCGGTACCTACATTCACAATTTTAGCTCTCCCCAGGGGTAAATATGTTAATCCTCTCCTATTTCTGATTGATGACATAGATTATCGGCATTAACATTCAAGACTAACACAAGGCGAACGTTCAGAAAACGCTTCCATTGAGGTTTAAAACACTAGGCATATAAATGTAAGATAGCATTACAGTATTACAGTATTAGGATATTTCAGTCTTGCATACCGGTAGGCCTACTGACCCAATAATACCGTATTCCAAACAGGATACCGGGTATTCATTATACCTGTTTAATATTGTAAACATTAGCCATAGTGTGAATGTTGTTCGTGAACTAAAATCTCACTTACTTGAAAATATTTGCCAGGTTCGCGACGAATATTCACAATCCAGGCTCGTTTCCGTTTGACATCCTTAGGAAATGAATGAAACGATAAGTTTGGTGAATAACGTCTATCACCATTACACAGTGGGACACAGCAATGCAACTTAGAACCACTAGACACTCTAGCCGACATTGCTATCACGGATTAAAAGACGAACTAACCAGAAAGACTGCGCTTGCCCTCATATTAAATGGCCGCCCACAGAAATGAAATCGAATAGACTTCACTACCGGTATAGCTTGCCAGGAAAAAATCTATAAAAAATATTGTGTTTAATAGCAAAACATCTTGTGCGACATTAAAGTAGATTTAAAATAAAAAATTAACAGTAAGAAACTATTTCAGGGAAAAGACGTTCCAGTTATTAATTCTGATAACGATTTTAAAAGCACACCAAAAAATCTGTAACGTGAAATTTGAAAAGCGGACTTGCTAAGTATCGCACAGCTGGCATCAGTAGTCAGTACCTACAGCTGTGAAGTCATTGGAGGTTTGCGCCCAAGTTACCGGTGCTTGCCTTTTCAGAAATATTTTAAACGAAATTGGCAGATAAAATAGAAATATTAAGCGTCAAATTTGCCAATAATAATACTGGAAATTGGAACTGGAATAATTGTCTGGAGAGAGTGAAGAAAATAGCAGTTGATCTTCAAAAAATACCTCTTACTTTAGAAGGAAAATGTTTAATAATAAAGCTCAAGATATTACCTCAATTTTTGTTTTTATGTAAAATATTCCCGATGCCAAAAAATATAGCAAAAAAAGTGGATGAAATTATTGAAAAATTTGTATTCAATGGAAAAAGAAAGCTCAAAATAGAGACCATTTGTAAGCCAAAATGTATGGGGGGATACGATATAATGAATATTCCAATTTTACAATGTCTATGTATATTATGTGTGTTTTTGAATATATAGAAACTATAGAAAATAATGTGATATTTAGTGACAGAACTATCAATTTTAATTACTTAGAATATAACATAGGGCAACAATTATGTGTTTATTTAGGTCTACCATTGAATAATAGTATATTACATAGATTTAGTCCACATGAATATTATAAAAGCGTAATTGATTTTATGAAAACTTATAGTTTAAATATGAATGATATTAAAATGGGTGAACATAGAATTATATATGATAAAGTTTTAAAAAGTATTAATGGGGAAAGACTTGTAATTATCCGTAATTCAAATCTCAGTATAACTTGTAACAGTATTCATAATAAAATTTTGACAAATTATATGAGGACCTTCAACTATAAGTTAATATGGGATATTCTACCCTTGAAAACAAAACCAGAGATCAAAAGAGTAGCAGGAAATGAATTATGTTTATTATGTAATATAGAACCTGAGTTTGTGTCACATATTTTTATGTTTTGTGAGTTTACTCAGAAAATTTATGATGAATTTGTTTCCTTAATTATATTAAAATTAATTAGAATAAATTTTGTTATAAATTATGATTCTTGTATATTATTGAATTTTAATGATCCTTTATTTAGTCATATAACAGCATTAGATTTGAATGCAATTATTCTTTTATTATCAATAGTGCGATATAAAATTTGGATAATGAGAAATTCTATAATATTTGAAAATAAAACACCTGACATTGCTCTCCTTAAAAAACAGATAAAAATGGCCCTAATGTATAGAAAAAATATAGAAAATTCCAGAGTAGACAAACCCTTTGAAAAAGAATTACAAAATTTATGTAAAGCATTAATTTAGATATTAAATCAGGTTTATAATAAGTTTTTTGTATTTACTAATTTTGTGTATTTCCTTTTATATTGTATTATATCATTGTAATTATTAAAAAAACATTATTATCGTTGGATACTTATTACTGATGAAACAAACTGGAAATACTGTGAAACTCAATTTAACAAATGGATCATGAATGGAATGTGGACTATAATTTATTTTATTTGTTTATTTATTTTTTACATATTTATTGAAATCACTCAATGAGTGAACCAATTAAAAAAAAAAAAAAAAAAAAAAAAAAAAAAAAAAAAAAAAAAAAAAAAAAAAAGAAATTGGCTCAGTCCAACGCGGAAAGAATATTTAAGTGCCACTGTCACAATCGTTGGTAGCTTTGAATAAAAAACAATTGTAGTTATGTGTGTCTCCAGTAGACTACAACCTTCAAACTGCTTCCATTCTTCCAGCACAGCAGCAATTAAGTACCGGTACCGTAAGCGTTTTTAAGTTCAAGTTAGCATAATTTTTATATAGTCTATTTTTTTATTTTCACATTTATCTATTTACTAAGTAATATACCGGTACCTTATGTTTCTCTTTAATTTCCTCTCTGCTGTTGGGTGAGCGAACACGTACCGGTAACGGTAGGTACCGGTACCACTTCTTGTGACAACACCTTTCAATCTAATACGGTACGGTAAGTACGTTTTATACCTTATATAAGTATGTTATAAGTTCATTTCGACTCCATAATCAGCATAACCATAAAATGATTGGTAAAAAAAAAAAACTTATTATGAAATCAGGACAGCAAACAAAACCTTAGATACCGGTAAGGTTTAAAACGTAGTCTACCTACAGAATGTATATATGATGGAAGGTTTTGCCAAGGAGAAGCGGTACCATAGTCTACGTGTTCACTCACTTGAAGTAATTGAAATATTTCACACACGCTCACACACACAACCATACAGAAGTTATAAAGTAAGAGGAACATGATAAATTACATCGTTAAAATAAATAAATAAAAATTACTTAAGCTTTTGTTCGGCTTAAGATCTGTATTCAGTTTTATTTTGTTTCTTCCAAATTTTTTTTATTGTCTTTTATGCTGATTATTGAGTCAAAATATACTTTAACTTACTTGCCCTAATACCGGTAAGCGATTTATTGATTGACTTAAATTAATAAATTTATTATATATCATGTTGTGCAATGACAGAATGACCTGAAATGAAAATTTTCTGATTGAGATTATTCCTAAAACTACGAAAAAATATTCTAATAAAGATAGTTTTGATTCGTTTTGGACATATCTGTTCACAATGTGAGTTAGTTAGAGTTTTGGACCCGATTATTTTGGCATCACCGGTCAAAAGGTTTGGGTTCGAATCCCGTATCCACAACCTCACCATCCAATCATTCCTGACTTGAATGATTGACCACGATTTGCCATTTGATTGAAGTTTTTTCCTTTCAGCATAAATGGGGTCTCATGTAGTTTCGTACCTAACATACTTTCAGTGAGCGTAGCATAAAAAAATTTTACATGTCAATCCTAACCGACTACCCCCTCCAAAAATTAGGTCATTACGACATCACAATCACGTCATAGAGCTTGCCGAATATACGTAAAATCATCCGAAATGGCATAGACGCCGACGATGAAGAACTGACTAATGTCAGCGATCTCTCTCATACTGGGATCATCATGACGAGAAAACGAGATAAATAGACTAGCTGTTCGATTTTGGGTGCACAGACATGCGCGTCTTAGATCAGTACAGCACACTATCCAAATTCCAAGAATTTCCCTCCATTTGACTCAATAAAACGAACACTCTATGTGTCTCACAAACGAGGGGCGTCTGGGACCACGTCAGATGCTTCATATCACTCCATGCTTGTCTCAATAATAATCTAAATTAATCGCGGCTGTCACATGACCAAAATTGCCTTTTTTTTCTAAAAACTCTCGAATGCTACGGTAAAAAAATTTTTCCTTCGGTAAATCGGATTAACTTTTCCCAAGGAATTCAATGATGACGTTACTAAATTGCGCTTTTTTGTAGTATTTTGCGCAACTTCATTATACTGTATTATTACTGATGAGGGACAACAATGTCCAGACGTCTCCCAAAGGAGGGGTGTCCGATCATCTGTAAAATGGGTTTCTCTGAAACGGGACAATGTCACCAGTTCGTATAGTTTGAAGGGCTCTATTGCGTCACTGTATCGTCATTTTTGGATGGATGGAGTGGTCAGGTGGGGGTTAGGATTGACACGTAAAAAAATTGTTACGCTACGCCCACTAGAAGTACCTGAGGTAGGAAACTACATGAGACCCCGTAAATGATACTAATATTTTAATATTATCTACAACTTTATCTTATTTTCAGAATTTTAGTATTTTAAATGAAAATTAAGGACGTACAATTAATAAGTACTTAATAACTAACAAAGCCATAGGGATGGAGGTACGTAGTCGTCGCAAAGCAAGAATGGATCGTGATGGCTCCTCTGAACGAGGCCGAGATGGCAAGAGCGGTCCTCAACGAAATGGATCATCTGCCATTAAAAAGTTATTCTTCGTTTTTTTTGTTGTATTTGGAATCGGAGCACTTGGATATTCTTTATCAGTATTACGGCCTGTTGCGATGGACGACATCCCAATTTTTCAAGCTGATATCAAAATCAACCAAGTACTGGAACAAGGAGAGAGAATTATTGTCGGGCAAGTTGGCCCTGAATCCATGGCAATTGATAAAAATGGAAATATATATACTGGTCTACGGGATGGCAGAATTATCAAAATTCATCCGAGTGCGACAGGTGAACTAGGTGTCGGATTGGTTGAAGATTTTAGAAATGGACCAATACCGGGTGTGGAACCTATTGATGGACATGTAATACCCCGCCCACTTGGACTCCGCCTACGTGGAGATATTTTGTATGTTGTAGATGCCTATTACGGTATTTATACTCTGAATATGAAAACAAAAGAAGTGCGCCCCCTAGTGAAACCAGACGATGTGGAACCAAGCATGAAATTTCCAAACGATTTAGATATTTCGAAAGATGGGAAATACATTTATTTCACAGATACGAGCTCGAAGTGGAATCTGGGTCTTTTCTATTATGATGTCCTGGAGGGAGAATGCTTGGGGCGTTTATTCCGACTAACGGTCAAAACTGGTGAAATCAAACTCCTTGCTTCGAAGCTCTGCTTTGCAAATGGGGTGCAACTTTCAAACGATGAGAGCAGGGTCGCTGTTTCTGAAACCACTCGATTCCGAGTCCTTTTCCTCGACACCAAAACTGGAAAAGTTGAAAAAGTTACGGACGTACCCAGCATGCCAGATAATATCCGTCGTAGCCAAAAAGGGGGTTTTTGGGTCGCATTACCAATTGGTCGATCACATTTCGTAGATTTTCTTTGGAAATACTCGATTTTACGTCGAGTTTTTACTGGTTTGGTGCCTTATTCATTGTATCCACGTTTTGCAAGTGATAAATATGGATTGGCGGTTGAATTGGACGCTAAGGGTAACATTGTTTCGTACGTTCATGACATCACAGGGAAAACATCGAAAACTGTCTCTGAATTAATGGAGACAAAAGATGGCGCTCTGTTTGCTGGTTCTTATAAGGAGCCATATATGGTGAAAGTTGAAAAGAGATAACTATAAAGATTAAGCGGTGCTATTATAGCGTGAGGCCCATTGCCATATGTCTCCCACCCAGTCTGAGATATATCAGGTTAGGGTCAGATCTATCCAATAAATCGCTAAACTAAACGCATAGAGATACCAAGTGACCGTACATTTGAACCCATGCGTATATATACGGGTGCTAAAACCCATGGGTTAGGTATAGTATGGTTCAAATATCCGTAAAACAAAAAAAATTCTATAGGTGCAATAGTATGCAGGTGCAATTGTCATGGGTTCAAATGTAATGGAACCAGATACCACAGTGTGAGTTCTATCACTACTTACTTAGATAAAGTCTGAGGTCTATCGCGTCTCTTGATGCGTCTGTATAGGTCAATTCTTGGATGTGTACAAATTAGTATTTACTAAATTGAACGCATAAAAATAAATGATGCCCATTAGGGATGGAAATGCAGCAATAGATCTCACGCTATATCATTATACCTCACGATAGTACCAGCTTTTTGTATATCTCATGCTATAGGGTAGTGGTTCTTATGCTATAGTATCACTGAAAAGCTTTTATTTTTATGTATGGGTGTCAAAAATGAATCGAATACATATGAAATTGTTTATTCAGATGTAGAAATATTTTATTTTAAATAATTTAGAAAATTTTGACATATACATATCTGTCATTCCAAGCTATCATACCTCAAATTATCCAAAAGCAATAAAATATTTGAAGAAAAAATCATAATTAGTTATATTTTATTATATTATACAAATTTTATATTAAATTAAACTTAATTGTTTCTGAAATAAAAAATTTATTACAGAAATAATTAAGTTTAATTTAATATAAAATTTGTCATTTTGAGATGTTGACACCTAACTATCAGACCAGAAATTGCTCAAAACCAATTGAATATTCGAATACTTTTAAAATTGGTTATATGCAGCAGTGGGATTCAGCCGGTTCGCACCGGTTCTATAGAACCGTCTCACGGAATTTTATAAAATCAGTGAACCGGTTAGCATTACTGGTTAATGTTCTGTTTGTAACAGAACCGGCTGAAAAATATGACTTTTGTGAAGGAACCGGCTGACAAAAAATTTGAATCCCACCACTGGTTATATGCAATCAATATAGTAAATTTTTAATTTCAATAATAATTGAGGATATTTTGAAATTTTCATTCTGAGCTCTCGGCACAGAACAATAACTTATACGTTTGTTTTCATTACTCTATACTGGATATGGGTCATGACCCCCATGGTTCAAAAGTGATGCTCTCACGAGAAGTGAACAGTCAAACTGCCCAATCTGAATTTTTTTTACCATTTTGTATTATATATAACTGTAAGTATGTTTCAAAAAGTTAATTTTTGATATTACCTAGTGCTTTGAGCCATCCACTGCAAAATTATATGCGCAAATAACAGTACTCCATTAGTGTATGTACCAAGTTAAGTTTAGGCCAAAATTTTATTCCAATTTTCCTTATTTTAGTTCTATCACGAGTTCGGGGACCATCTGTGTTAGCCGAGTGAATATACGCCTTGTCCATATGTTTCAGTCTCTTTACACAACTTGATGTAAAGTAGGTGAACAAAATTAGTTACCTCCATATTGGTACACACACTTCTGGAGCGCCCAACTAGCTGATATTGAACTTATCATTAAGTAGATCAATTGGATCTAATTAAATGTTCTGGCTTAGGATAGATATAACGCTTGAAGTTATTGGTTTGAATGCAAACGGATAATGGATTCGTTTAGGACATCCCATGGTTTGCATTTCATTATTTTCAGTTGATTTTTTCCACTGATTTTCTGTGCTGAAACTTTGTGCCAATTTATAATTGTGAATCTGTTTTTATTTAATTCCTGTTATGATACCAATTAGAGGGCGCGACTATGCAGATCAGATATCTCAGATTCAAACCTTGTGCATGTTAAGTGATTGTTCAATGTCATGTTCAAAGAGGATCTCAACCAGGTTCAATCCCCATGTCCACTACCTCATAAAAATTCAGTATTTTCTTTCTGAATGTAAACAAAAATGGCTTGAACCCTGTAACCGGCGCTTCAGAGAAGTGTGTGTTTCAATATGGAGGGAACGAAACTCGGACCTCCGGAAGTATGTGCACCAAGATGGCGCACAACATGAACATAGTATGTGTACCAGGTTAGGTTTCAGGTTGTGCGCTATCTTGGTGCACATACTTCGGGAGCAGCCAAAACTTTAGTCTTGATATTCCAGTTGTCCCAAATATTGAGTGCTTGACTAAAGTATGAATTACTTGATATTTAAATAAATTCACTTTGATTTAAAATTGTTTAAAAAGATTGATGACGTCATCAGCTGTGATGTCATAACTTCAAATGCCTTGCATAGTAGGCCTATCTGTAATAAATGAGGGCAATTTTATTTGAAAAACTAGCGAATACAAATTGTGCTGTTTTATTCTATGCATTTTCCAGAATTTAATAAAAAGTGAGTTTTTAAGATATTTTCGTGATGGATTTCGAGTTGTGAAAATTTTGAAAGTGAACCAGGGGTAGGCAAGGTTACTCGACTAGGGGCAAAAACTTTTACCCACTCAAGACTGGCGGGCCATGCAGGTGTGATGTAAAATGTTACATTTTTTGAACAATATTTACAGTGTTACAAAAGTAGAGGTGTGAAACAATGAGCCTTGTGCCAAAACTAAATTTAATCGCAATCTCAACATATTCCTTGAGCTATTTTTAAATTAAAACATTAAAATTTGGTTTTAGTTTGGTTGTGGCGGCATCAGGCGGGCCAGATTGGATTATCTAACGGGCCGGATTTGGCCAGCGGGCCCTAGTTTGCACATGTCAGATATAGACATTAAAAGCTTAGGTATGCATGTATTTGATATGGCAAGAATAGGTCAGTGCCGGTCTCTGTTTTGTACGACTTCTGATTCAGAATCACCACTTCGGCTCTTTTTTCTGAAGCTTTTTACTAGTGGCATGGGTTAGACCAGGAGTCCCGACCCCAAATGGGTGCGATTGATAAGTAGGTGGGGTCGCAAACAGGTCGTGGGATCGCTGAGGTATGGTAGAGGATGGATGTACAACACATCTAAGATTTGACAAACCGAGGTAAATTCAACAGTTTGTACCATGGCTTACTGTAAAACAGGTCCATAGGCATCGCTATATGCTTATGCTATAGAAAATGTAGGTGTTTTTTGTGACATCACTGTTTGGTTTTAGCTTATTTACCTTAATACGACCACATGACCAAACTCAAAAGTTCAGTGAAAGAAGCTCTAAAGCAGGGGTCGGCAACCTTCTGTAGCTCGTGGGCCAAAATTAAAGGTTGCAAGTCATTGACGGGCCGCACATATTTTTTAGTTAAAAACCGAACGGATGACCGATGACTCACATTTTTTCACACAGATCAGATGTTAAATTTTAAGCAGCGCGCGATTTCGGATATTTTTTGCACTAAATTATACTACTTTGCATTATATTTGCACTTAGCATCAACTTTTCGGCGTTTTGTTGCCATTTGTCTAATCAGCGTTTCCCAACCTTTTCTGGTCGCGGACTATTTTCTCACCGGCGAAAACCTTTCCGGATTCAACGTGCGTTTATTGCAACCGTACTCTGTGTGAAGAGCAATTAAAGCAATTACGTGCTCGTTAAAAGAGTCGACTTTTTAGTGTATAATGGCCGTTTCCGTCGCACAATATTCAATCCATGACAACGACGACAATTTAAAATATCTTTCTATTTTAATTTAATTGTGTTCATGGTAACCCACTGTTGCTTCGACATACGACAAGATGAAAGCATTACCTCTTCAAAATGCCACGGCAATCTGCGAACAAATAATGTGAGAATAATATTGCCCGATTATATTTAGTTTTGATACCTATTTTTTGCAATCTTGCGAATTTGTTATCGCCGTTAGAAAAATCCTACTATCTACTATAAAGTTCCAGAAAGTACAACTTGATTTAGCACTTATTAAAAATATATTTTAAAGTATATTAGTAAATTAAAAATACAAATTCATCGCCTTGCTTCACTATTAATTTAATTGTGATGATTTTAATCTGCAGTTGTGTTGACGAAATAAAAGCAACGCGTGGTATTGCCCGAATATATTTTGTTTTGATTCGTATTTTTGTGAAATCGACAAATCTGAGCTGTTCGTACAACACTTATGGCGCTCCAGTACTGTACATACCAATGTGGAGCCAGTAAAGCAAGGAATCCCGAGGAAAATGCCCTGGTACGTATACTACGGTAGCATCAGTGGGGGGATTCAGCCGATTCGCACCGGTTCTTCAGAACCGTTTCACTGAATTTTATGAGATCAGCGAACCGGTTAGCCGTACTAAAAAAACATGTAACAGAACCGGCCGAAAAATATGACTTTTGTGATGGAACCGACTGACAATAAATTTGAATCTCACCACAGGGTAGCACCCGAAATTTTGCGATTTGCAATGTCTAAAAAAGCGTTTTTATTCGGTCGCGGAACCTCATAAAACAAAACTTATGGTGTTCTCTGTTTTATTTTCAGCATTTTGTGTTGCTGCAATTTAGAAAATTTGAATTGCCACCATTGACACCTACCAGAAAAAAAATTTATTCCTCGTTGTTCGAACCCGCGAGAAACACCACTAAGGTATCTATCGAAGTGTGTGCAGACTCGTGTTTTCGTCGGAAATCCGCAAGTGAGTTGTGAAATCCAATCGTTTGATCAGGCGACGCGTCACCTGTTACCAAATTTTCGAATAGTAAATTGCTATTCTGATAGTTGAGTATTCGAATATATGTCCAGTCCTACTTATTAACCAGTAATTATTGTCTCGAATATTGTTATGTGATTAAACTTGCCTTTTATGTTTTATGTCAATTCCAACTTAAATCGTAACTTGGCTGATAAATAAGTTTCGCAAAAATGTTTGCAGTCCGCAGTGAATTTCTGGATCGCTGCGGACTCATTCAAACGCTCCGCGGACTCATTTGAGACCGCGGA